ATATCGTTTTCAAGTACAAGAAGATTTCACAGTTTTGTTTTAATGGCAGTCATACAGCATACACGATAAACTGAATTCACATAAATATGATGTTACAAATAATGGAACCAAACAGTTTCGCCAGTGTAAAAATGGGAACGGAAGTTTTATTTTAAAATTTTGTATCTTTTGAAAAATGTGATAGATTTAATTCAGAGGTGAAAGAATGAATAAATACCAGCAAAATTTTAACAGAGCTGGTACAAGTATAAGAACTTGACAACACTGTTTCCGATATCCTTCAGTCCGTCCGCCAAAAAAAATTCCCATACAGCCACGGTACGTACTATGTACGTAATGTTGGGACGAACATCAGGTCCCTGGTACGTACAAGTACGTACAGGTACGTACTATGTACGTACTAGGGACGCACATTTTCCAACGCTATATACGTCCCCGGTACGTCCCTGGGATGTGGTAAAGTACGTACTATGTTCGTCGCATGTACGTACATTTTATGTTTTGTTCCGGACCAAAACTGCATGTAAAATGATCGAAAGTACGTACAATGTACGTACTATGGACGTACATTTTTCAACGACGTATACGACCTAGGAATTTAATTAGAAATAATTCAATGGAAGTCAGCTTAAAATATTTATTAATATAAAAACTCAGGTACAGGGTCATCCCTTATGTATTGATACACCCGCAAGTCTGGCTTCGGTCCGGCAACTACACCCTTAGCGCACTCTGTCTTTTATTGGATGTTGATAGATATTTTATTTTTTTATTCTCGAACTGCTTCTAACTAAAAAATACAAAAATAAAACTAAGTATTCAAATATCTAATTCTTGCCTCTGTTTTGAAAAAATTGAATGAGTCGATTCTCAATCATTCGAGGTTGTGACTGTGCTAGGTGAAATAGTCACATTATATTATTACATTTTACACAATTAACTTACCTTGAAACAACGAGCAACGAAGGCAACGACAAAAGAAAACAAGGCGGAAGCCAAACAACACCCGGCCACCATGACACATGACACCCACTCACACAACACTATCGAAAACTGGATCGGAGTAGGTGCGCACTCAGTGTATTGTTGTTTTTATTTTTTACGTTGATTAATAAAAGATGGAACTACACTGAGTGCGCACGTGCGCTCTAGCTCTGCCAATCGAAAACGCCATTAGAAACCGCCCGACTTCCGATTCCGACAAGACTCGAATGTGAACGAATAGCTTAGCGGGAAATTTAAACTTTAAACATAGGACTGCATAATTTTCCTGTTAGGCTTGATTGCATTATATTATCTGACAAACGGATCTAAAACAGCAAGAGGAATTCGGGCAAAAAAAGTCGACGTTGTCACGTTTAATAATAGAAAAGCAAAGTTGCTCAATATTACCTGTAAATTGAATATATTTTTGTTCTTTTCAGCATACATAATTATATATATGCTAATATCTTGACGTTGTTCTTATTGTATTAATGTATATTTATCTAATTAACTGATCTTCATTCTGCCTATTATAAAAGGTAAAGTATTTCCTAAAAATAACGCCCGCTTAGGGCAAGCTGGCAACGCTGACAAAATTTATCATGGCATCCCGGTTTCAACCAATCTGATTGGTCGAGATTCTCCAAATACGTTTTAATTAAAACGTATTTGAGATTCTCGCACGTCATTACCCCCAACTTTATGTCCCTCTCTAGGAATAGTAGAAACAGCCACTACTACTGAAAACTCCAGTGGCGGTGTATTATATTGTGATTTATGCCTTTAACTTGATTTCCTGCTTATTGTAATTAGTACACGCGTTTTAACAAATATTACTATATTTGGGAAATGACTGAAAATGTAGGTACATTTAAAGTAAAATAATATTATAAACTTTACTGGAAAATATTATAAAAATTCCTGATATATTTTTATGAAACACCGCACGCTCCTGGATATTTTCTGAATGAAATCGGTCATGATTTCACAAAATTGCGATCCCCTTACCGTTGCCCCGTTGTTTCAGATCCGTTTGTCAGACTGTATATTGCATTTTTAACCCATCAGATTTCTTCAAAGGCTGTCATGCATTATGATCATTGGATAATTTAAGAAATCATTTTTTATAGCGGTCGGCTTAGATTTATTAATAAAAGAAGTAGAGGTAGGTTAGAGTGACTTGAATTATCCAGTCCATTCATTATTATTGGGTATATCTGACCAAAATAATCCAGTCATGCTATTAAAATTAAATAACATTTTGTAATGCGTTTTCAAAAATTTTTAAGATACGTACGTAGTACGTACTCGCAAGTACGTCCGTAGTGTGTGCGTACAGTGCGTAGTGTCCTACTAAATAGTTCGTACATGGGGCACGTACTATGTACGTATACTTTTGTACGTACATAGTACGTCCCTAATTGGTCCCGGGACGTACCGACGTAAAATGGACATAAAATGTACGTCCCTGGGACGAAGTGTGCTGTATGGGTTATGGAAGGAAGGGATATGGAACGGAAGGGAAACGGAACGGATAGTGTGCATTGTCCTATTCATTTACATGATATAATATTTTATGTAAACGGAAGGGAGCTGATATGGAAGGTACAGTGAGAATCAACCTCAATACCGCCACAGAGGTATAGACATTTTTTGTCTTTATATTTATTGGTATTCCAACATGTTGACAGATATCGTTTACGAATTGAGTACCTTGACCGACCAATAACAACACTGCTTTGGAGTAAAGTACCTCTCACAATAATGATTCCGCTATTGCTTGTTGGTACACGAGGCGCGCGTTTGATTTTTCGTCTCTGTCGACATCTAATACCGTCCGTCGACACTAAACATAGCCCAGCGCTATTTTAAGCCTCTCCTAATTCAATAATCGTCCGTTTTTACCCGCCTTGCTCTCTTTTTCCTAGACATTGAGAAGAGCGTACCGCCGCACCGTTATATATTGTTAAGTATCTTTCGACGCCTCGTCACATGCCTAACCCTCGTTTGAAGGGTAGTAGTACCATCCGTGGTGGTACGGTGTCCTTTAATATTAAAAAAGACGCAGACGAAAAAAAGTTCATTTTATATTATCAGCAAAAATCTCTATTGTATTTCATGGTTGCTATATGTAATACAAAAACCTATTAGAGGTAGAGGGAATTATGGTATCTTAATTCCCGGTAATAATGTCCCAAGGGAGTTATGATTCTATTTATCGGTAGCGTAACCAAAACCATATAAGCTTATATTAATTTAGTAAGAAATATATATTTTTTTTAAATCCCGTTTTCTAAACATTATTTCATGCATATATTATTCTATTCATTATCTCAATGCAACAAAACTGAACCAAAAGTCGACATAAATATAATGAAAAAGTTCATTAATATAATGAATTAAATCATCAATTTTGAACCGATGAACGATTTCATTGGCACAATGAAAAGTAATTCATTAACTCTATGAACTTTAAGTTCATTAAATCAATGAACAGTGTTCATTAATTTGAAGAACACAATCATTGGTACAATGAACAGATTTCATTAATATAATGTACCTAAATCCTTATATTAATGAACCGTTAGCATTAATACAATGAAATAATTTCATAACCTATTTAGTTATACATTTAAAAGTCGACACTATTAGTAACTCTTGTTACACCGTATAATCGATTATGAAGATCGCTGTCATTGATATTAAATGTCATTGATAGTCATTTCCCAGCCAACTACCTGAAATTATTCTACAAGGTAACAAAATTACTAATAGTGCCGACTTACTTACGAGCACAGTAAATTTCTCCATTCGGGATTATTAATAAAAAACAAGTGCAATAAACTAATAATAATTTATTAAACGCGATATAGCATATACAAATTAAAAATTAAAACAATCGAATCGACGAAGAGAATAGTAATGTTATTATTAATTTTAGGGTAAATTATAATAAGAAAATTAATTTACCAGTCGATATCCTGAGGGATTTCTATAAAAAGACCATTTCTTCATTATATTAGATGTATCCTTAGACTTGATAACGTCTAGATGAATTTGCAACAGGTTTTCCAAGTCGCATCAAGTGGGTCCGATGTTAAATTGTCGAATTTGAGGACTTGAAGGCAGATCTCAACATCTTCTTCCGGTTCTAAAAGACGTATATCAAAATAATTAAAATGCCAAATATTAAAAGAACATTCGAATTTACCATAATCAGTTCCTATGCTATGTTTTTCTTCTTTTTGTTTTTTATCTTCTGAAACATATTTGGAAACAGCTGTTTTAATGAATACCCATACCAGAGAGATCTCACACAGCGGAATTTGATTTGACAACACAACAAATTAACTACAATACGATAGGACTTTTATTTAAAATATTTAAAATATTGAAGAGAACACTTACCGCTCTAATGAAACTAAAGCCTCACTGAATAACTCAACCACACAGACGTTATTAAAGGGCCAAAGTAACCGATCAACATGGCGGACATTTAAGCCCTAATATTTTATTCATGATATTAATAACCGCGTACATTAATATAATGTAGTGTGTTCGTTGTATTAATAACATTGTTCATTGTCACAATGTACAACTCATTAATCAATGATTTAGTACATTAATATAATGAATATGTGTTTATTAAAGTTTCAGCACTAAAATAAAGAATGCGTTCATTGGGACAATGAACGCGTTCATTTAATTAATGAAAATCTTACATTAATTTAATAACCAGATTTTCATTATATTGATGAAATTAGATTCATAGTATTAATAAATCGGACATCGATCTATGATTAACAAATCATTATATTAATGAAAAAAAGCATTGTCCCAATGAAACAACAGTTAATAATCAATGTTCATTAATATTATGAACAATATTTTTTTCAGTGAACAATTGTTGATTGACTTCTGAATCCTCTATATATTATTTTGGAAAAATATTTTTTACGTAGCGATTACAATTATTTTTTATTACAATTAGATTGACAATTAAAATACTACATTATGTTTTAATAATTTATTTATTTACAAATTTGTTGTATTTATTTACAACGTCTATTACTGAATCGTAAAGTAATCTTTTGACATTTTTGGCAAATATGAAATCGAAATGATTGAACAATTCCCATTCTATCAAATGCGCTTCTGGCTTAGTCGGTAGTTGATTCATAAACTTCTCCACATCCTAAAAAAATATTAAAATTCTTGAAAGAACACATTTTTCGCAAAATATTAATATTAAAAAAGTTTTTCCTCTTGTAAACATAATCTGGAGACATACTATTAGTAGTATTTCTTTATACTTACTAAGACATCAACCAAATAGTCATTTTTGCCATAATAAGTAATGATTGGTGCTGTGATTTTCGAAACGTCATAGACAGGTGACGTTTCCCTGCCGTACTTCTGGGAATTCATCAATCCGTAATCAAACTGTTTAAATTCTCCTAAAAATTGCTAAAAATAAGTATATATACAATAAACAAAAGCGTAAGACCATTTTAGATTTTTTAATGAAATAGATTTTGATTTTTAACTGATTAAGTTTATACAGGGTGAGTCTTAAATGAGTGCAAATATTTTTAGGGCTAGCAGATCTCGACAAAAGAAACCATTTTTCTTTTTCCGTTTTTCAAATAAATCCAAAATAACCGAGTTTTTTTACTTTGAAAATTCCCAATAAAAATTATTTTTTGCAAAAATTTTGAGAACCACTGGATCTCATCTGAATCTTGTAAATTTAATTTACTACCTATGTTGGCATATTATCAACAAATTATGTTTTTTAACTAAAATCATTTTCCAAAAAAATTCTAAATTTTCATTTCTTTTCACGAAAAAACCTCATAATCGTGTTTCTGGGCTAGAAATATAGTACCCCTAAAAATATTTGCACTTATTTATGACTCGCCCTGTACAAATTATAAGTATCGTTTTTGATACGAAATATTAAGAATATTTAAATTTAAAAAATAACCACTTATTATAATAGTATTAAATAGGTATTTAACATTTATGAAATACCTGATGTTATTGCTTGTCCAAAATGTATGAGCTCTTTGACAGAAAATCCGGCAGGCGTATACGATAGAAGAACTGTCAGCAAAAACTAGAATTAAAAATTATATTTAAATATTCATTTTAACAAATTATGAAATTGTGTAGAACTCAGACATACAATATACATAGGCAACTCTTACTGTACAAAATGAAGGTACCTAAGATAATATAGAGACTAGTGTCTTCTCCACCATTCTAGAGATTTGTTTTGAGATTGCTCTCTGTTTTGTGGACATTTTTGTAACTGTTTCTGCAATGCCGCAGTAGGATTCTGGGTCTATGAATGATACTGACAAGCCTTGTTTGGCCTTTTCCTCCAATATTTGGGTTTCAGTTATATAAGGTTATTTAACATTCTTATTTAATTGATATTTACTATTTTGTTAGTAGATAATCTATAAATACTTACTCTGTCCAATTGTGGAAGATCATAGCCAATAATTAGCTCCAATATATTAACACAGATGTGATGAAAGGGACTAATGATGTTGCAAGCTTTCTGAGCAAATACAGATATCCATGGATTCCAAGGTATCCCATAGATGTTATTCCCATACAGGAAACTCTAAAAATCGAAGACTGTAGTTAGTTTTGACCATCACTATTCATAATTTGAAAATTTAATTAAAAAAAAGATATGCATAAAACCTAGGACAAATATAGAATGATATCAAAAGAAGATTTGATAATATATAAAGTTAAAATATTTGTTTGAAAATCGTAGAAAATGATGAATTATTATATAAAGTATCTTCTTAGACAGGCATAGTCTTTAATTTTAAATTTTTACAAGTTTCGGTCAGATAAAACAGACGCGGTTACCAAGTTTGATTGATCTGAACCTAAATCATAAATTTACGTAGCTTATACCATCCTAGACACTTCATCTGCGTGGTCTGTATATTAATGCATGCAACAAAGATAAATATAAATGACTGGCTGACAGACAGAGACACAAAATAAAAAGCGGCATACAGTAGAAAACACCACGGGTTTCAATACTAATACTAGAAGGAGCAAGCTGTCAGAAGCATTATTACAGTTAATGACTGGTAATTCTCTACTAATGAACTTGTTAAAAAGACGTTTCAGACCACAATGCGAAAAAAATAGAATAAAAAGGCTAAATTAAATACAGATCTTTGTTTTTGATGCTCGTTTAAAGTCGTAGGACGCTTATCGCTCACTAACCGCTTTTTATAAGCTATCAAGTAGATCAAGTAGACTTTCATTTACCTCTACTTCCTGTCTATACTGTGTCATCAGCAAAATCAAAGGACTCTTCACATGTTCCAAGTAAACCACAGGACTCAACAAAATCATACTGTAAAACTTTTCATTATACTCAGGTCGCGTTGAAGTCAGTACCATAGCCTCTGTAGTTCCTTGAGAATGACCTATATAGGTTATTTTCTCTGATTTTGTTGTTTCTATCACATAATCTATAGAAGCGGGAAGATCGTAGTATCCTTTTTCGTGAAAACTGAAGTCCCAGAATTGACTGTCAGTGTCTGGGTTGAGGGTTTTGTGTTTCATCGAGTGGAGATTTCCTCGGGTATTGGCTAACCATACATCATAACCTAGAAGTAAGAGTTTTTTAATAAGCAGCCTAGAAGCAAAGTCGCCCAGGATTGTGGGCTTCGTCCAGGACAGATGCAGAGGTAGCCAAGAGTATTTCTGCGCGATTCATTGACAGGGCCGAGTACAGTATAAAATGTAAGAGATACCTAATAGTCAGGAAAAGTATGCTAAAAAACAAGAAAGAATTTTATTACCTTGATCTGCTAGAATCATTGGTAACGATCTGGTTGGTCCTAACAATAGCCAATCTCTTGAAGAGCACATGAAGCAGTGTTTGAAAAATACGACTGGTTTTTCAGAGTCAGATTTTGTGTCTCTTCTTCCGTGTGGTATACGATGCATGGTGAGGATGTATCCGTCTTCCGTTGTGACGTCGTGACATTCCAGAGGGTAGTGGTATTTAGCAAGAAACTGGGGCTAAAATAATGTATAGAAGAACATTAGAAAAAATTATATGGGTAACTTTTCTACCAATCTTAAATGTATGTATAATTTGCAAAAGGGCTAAGATATTTGATTTTGAATATTTTATTTATTTTAGATGAGTGGTAAACAAAAAGTGTAGAATGTTTCTAAGAGACCTAACATCGGGCATAGGATGGGTAAAAAAACTTCTATTTTTTTCACTTTACATTCTGAAAAAATGGTTGGTAGACACCTCAAAAAAATTATCTCCAAGTATGAGCTCTTAATTTTAATAGAAAGGTATTCCGCCTTTCAATTTATTTCTATTTTTTTCCTTAATATTAGAAAGAAAAATTCAAATTTCGGTATCTACTATTTACAAAAAAAATATCTCGCTTCATATATTTAGAGAAAATTGAAGTTTTCTTTTTTCTTGTGAATTTTATAATTCGTTAAAAAAATCATTATGATACGCCTAACTTATAGTTTTGTTGGAAATTCAATGCTCTACAAAAATGGTTTCTTATGATTAGTCGATTATAAATTAACCGTTTAAAAGATATTCATCGTCTAACTTCAATGCATAATAATTTTAACAGTTCTTGATTGATATAATTCGAACAAGTCCAATTTATTGTAAAAATTTGTACAAATTTGAGTTTTTTCTATTTTTTTTTCGCAAAAAAAACTCATGGGCTTGTTTCTGGGGTCGAACTATACTACCAGTTAAAGCTCTTGTACTTATTTTGGGGACACCTCAGTGGCGTAACTATCGATGTGCCCTTGAGGGGCCCAGGCCGCATTTCCGTATCTGTCACATGCTATCGCGAATCAAGCAGAATCCTTCTGTTTCTGATGAGGATATATATGAAATGGGTGAGGTTCTATACCTTAAATACCCCGATGATATTACCTATACCATTTCTTCTCAATTACTCTCCTTCAGACAATGTTTCCGAAATAGTTTATATGAAATCAATTGAATTTTTGAACTCACTGCATTTATTTTAATTAAAAACCTTTCATCGTCTTCTAGTTTCAGCGAGATTTTAACAGCGTGTCATATTTTTCTCACCATACCTGTTTCTGTGGCCTCGGCTGAAAGATCTTTTTCCGAATTAAAGCTTGTCAAAAATAATTTAAGAAATACTATGGGCGAAAAACGATAATCATCTTTGGCAATTATTTCAATAGAAAATGAAGTTGCCCGTACAATAGACATTGGTAATATCGTGTCAACTTTTGCCCATGTTAAAGCAAGGAAAAAAGAATTTTAACATGTTGATGTTCCTATTTACATTGTTTATTTTAATTTTGTGTTTTGTTGTTGTTTTTTGTTTTGTTTTTATTTATTTCTTTATTTATTTGATATTTTATATGTTTTGGTTTACCTATTCTGTGTTGTAGTAATAAATAATACTATATAAAAATTAATTTGATAATGTTATTTCTAACCGAAAATATGAGTGCATATTATTCAGATTAGTATATAAGTAGTAAAATATGTAGGTGTAATAAGGGGCCCGCTAAAATTTTTGCACACAAGCCCGTAAATCTGTTGTTACGCCACTGGGACACCCCGTATAAATACTTACGACGTTTAATTTTGTATCAGGATGCATAGGCACAAAACTTGAAGATTTCTCTAAAAGCGTCCACGCTAGGCCCACCAAATTTTGAAGACTATTATTCTCAAACTTTACTGCGCTCACAGATGAAGAAGCAACAAATAATATCGTCCACAGTATCTGCTTAACCTTCATTATCTATCATTTATACGCGCTCAACGAGACTATTATTACACCATTTTGTTTTTCACGCTGCTGTTCACAGTTTGATCATTTTTTCCAAAGAACAATCGGTATTTATACGTGATTTTTTGTACAAAAAAAACGTTGTTTCAAGTGAAGCGGACATCGGTTGATTGATTTAAAATAATTGCGGTGAAAAAATTGGGAAAATCAAGTCACACTTGTTTGAAAATTATTTTTACGAATGTACAGGGAGTCCGAAATAACATAATGTCCATCAGTGACCTACGCACCATTAAATCTTGGTGCGATTCTAATCTCCTATGCCTCAACCTATCAAAAATTAAAGTGTTGTCATATAAAAGTACTATACAACCTTTTGTACTTAATAACACCACTGTTGACGTCGTGGACTCTGTGTAGTTCTTAAAACTGGTTGTTGACAACTCGTTAAATTGGGAATATTGCACATCGAAGCTTTATCAAAGAAACTATAAGCGCTGCCTGTTTTGCGCTAAGATCAGTTTCTAGGAACCTAACTTTTCAACCTCTAGAATAGTCTATTATGCCCTTTTTGAGGCGCATCTTCGTTATGCTCTTCAATTCTGGGGTACTTGCTGCGCGACAAAATTTGATCGTATTTTCAAACTCAAAAGAGAGCAATTCGATATTTATTGGAACTGAACAGAAGAACTCACTGTCACAATTTCTTTAAAAATTTCAAAATACTGACTCTTCCTTCTTTATTCATTTTTGAATCCGTTTGCTTAATCCGCAAGCACATATCTGCTATTCCCGAAAGGCCATTTCACAACTATCCTCATCTTTATCTGCCAACCCCGAGCTCAGAACTAGTTAAAGGCTCAATAGTTTACAATGCCAAAAAAATGTACAATCATCTGCCTTTGAATATCAAGTAGCTTTCATTCTTTCCCGCATTTCGCAAAGCTCTGAAATCATACTTACTGGAGAGAGCCCTATATGCGGTAAACGACTTTTTTGTTGATGTTTAATCTTGAACAATTGCGAATTTTAAAATTTTGATCATCTCACACACTGGTTAAAAGTCGAGTGTTTAATATTTTATGATATCTTTTAAGTGGTTATAACCATTTACAATTTTAAAATTGTAAAATTTTTATTTATACTTTTTTTGTGTTCTGCAATGTATGTATACTAATATGTGTTCTATTTGTGATTTTGACGTATTTGTATTGGACGATATTTTTTATTATTTGTATATTTTTTTTGCTTAGGTGCTCTTAGGTTTGTTTTTTAAATGCTTTATCGATGAAGCTATTTTGGCTTTTTTTACAATAAAGCTTTATTTATTTATTTATTTATTATTTATATATTTTTTTAAAATATTCTTTTACTGCTTGTTGAAGATCCTGAAACCACGCTAATGATGCTATTTATCTTTAGACCTTTTTGCTGCAATCTAAAATCTAATATATTAAAAATATTCTCCAAAGTATTTCTGAATAGCTTTGGAGAAACTATCAATTATACCATTAAAATACCCTATTTAAAGTTTATAAATGACCCACCCGGTACATTTTAAAATATTTTAAATCACTTGTGCATATAAGAGTCACACAGACTCATTAAATTATGTCAGTGGTTCAAGGCAAATATGTTTAACAATTTTCAGTTTCTTATTTAGTACTAAATTTAATAATGCAGTAGTGCAGATTAGTTTTACATAATAATATAAGTAAATTTTCATTTTAAATTAAAATGAAACATATAGAAGTCCTTTAACACGATAGATGTTATGTAGGTAGGTGCATTCAATTAGTTTTAGCAATTATTTACATCAAATTTGTAATGAGTAGACAATCAAATCACTCGTCATGGTGTTTGTTGTCTGTCTATTGTTTATTTTTATCATTTTTTCAATTTTAGCATGGGATAAGGCAATTTGGAATACCCAATATTTTAATTACAAATAATTTGTGATTAAATTATATTTTTATATTGCTGTAATTCATCGGAATTAAAATTGAAAGTCATAGAATAATTGTCCTTTTGATGCAAAAATATACACTTTACTTTAAAATGTATACGTTATATTTTTTTTTGTTTAAAATCTTCCCCATATCTTCCCCTTTCAACACATTGCCTCTAATGGGAATTGTCTTGATTGAAAAACATGAAACATGTCAATGCCAATAAACAAACCTAAACCAGCAATATTTCACAAATATTAACCTATATAACGGAGCAGTTAAACGGTTTGTTACACAATGCCATCACTAAGTTCTTTTTTTCCTCCAGTTCGAGACCCATAAATATCCATAAACATTTTTTTCTCACCGAAAACTATCCTACCCAGTGGCGGAGCGCGTGGTACAATACTTAGAGGATTATTTTATTTAATATTGAGTAGATGTCCTATACATGCATACTGCCATTACTCGCTAACCAGTATTTGACACGCATGAGCTTTTCTGTGACTGAAAAGCCCGATACGTGATGTTATCTGTCTACCGCACTCCAGACATTCAAAAATCTCATTGCTTTGTTGCCTCTTTACTTTTTGGTTGTCGTTGTTAACTGACTTTACAATTTTTCTCCATTCCATTCTATCGTGAGCTGCTTCTTCCCACTCATTCTGCTTGTTAATACCCTTTAAGTTTTCGTGGAAAATATTCTTGTACCTTTTGAGTTGTCCACCCCAACAAGCAAAATTTATTGCTGGAACATTGCCAAAACTTCGCAAAGCAAGGTATAACATTGCTATTTTCACTGTAGGGAGGTTTATGCAAGGTTTCAGGGTAGCTTAATCTTCCGCCTAATAACATTGCGGTGCAAGGTTGCATTTCACAATATTATTGAAACGTTGCTAACGTAACGTTCAAGAAAGTACTAATTTGGGTTGTATTAGCAATATTGTTAATTTTACGTCAATACAATATTGGTAAAATTATATTATTAATTTTAATTAACTGACTTATTGCTATCTTATTGCTAAAATAATATAGCAAAAAATAGATAATGTTTGCATTAAAAAACCATTTCATTCATCAGAGGGAAACTATAAAAATTATTTTTTAATATTTACTTATCAATTAATGAAACAGTTTTTTCTTGCGAACATTAGCAATTTTATGCAATTTTATGTTAACAATAATACATCAGTAAATATATAGGTACAGTATAAACATTATTTTATATTTCTTATTCAAAAATACAAAAGGAAAGTATAACATTAAATGTATGTAGAAGGAAAAGCAAACTTAGATTTTAATTGATTTTTTGGATCTTTCATATTTTGTCTTCGCATGTTGAATTGCCTTATTCATGGTTTCAAATTCCTCTTCGGTAAAGTTTTGAAATCTATATCCAATCATTTCTAAAGTAGTAAAAATAAAATTAATCAGTTGTAATAAATAAAGCAATGAGAAACTTACCTCTTGTGACTTTATTTTAAAAATTTCAAATGATTATAACGTCATTAAAAAAATATTATTGAGAATAATTAATACTGAATAATATTTGCGATTTTATCATTAGATTGATATACTCGGATTGGTATCCTGATTTTATCTACTTCAATTTTCAGTTGACTAAAAGCTAACCTAAAACATAAAATTTAGCTTAAAAACAAACTAAACTAAACAAAATTTGTTATACTTATTCATGGCTAAGTATTATTAAAACACACATAATAATAAAATTATACTTACATTTACATTCATTAAAATCTCATTCGAAAAGCATAAAATGTGATACCAGAAACGTAAAAAAACAAGTGCGTTAACCTAACCTAACTTCTTATACCTTATGATCGAACAAAAAAGACGTCAGCGATGGTTATGAAAAGAAAATCGCTGTCATTTTATATGGGGAATGTCATCGATATTCATTTCCAAGCCAACTAGACGCCGGTTTTTTAGATCCTATGGTATATTTGTTATATTATTAGTTAACATTAACTTGAGCGGATTTTTCATTTGAATCTTTGTTGCAATGTTGCAGAAAAAACGTTTTAATCATCATTCAAAAACAATGTTTCTGTAGCAAGGTTTCATCAATCACGACCCAACGTTTAGAAATCAACATTACAAAGCAAACTGTTTGGGGGTTGACTGCAATGTTGCCAATGTAATGTAAGGTTTTTTGCTTGGTGGGTATTTAATCTCTGTTAAACATCAAAACAGATTTTAGTCAGGTCAAATTTTGAACAATTTGGCCTGCACAAACCAATTTCCGCAGATTATCTGGGAGTTTACAGCGCCCTTTAAATTTGGGGGTTCAATTTCCCATGCGCACTTTCGAGGTACCGCCACTGGTTCTAACCGAGCTTCATTAACTGTACCGTATCTGTCGGCACATAGTAAAAGAGTTCCTCCATTCATAAAACGAAAGTAGTACCCACACCGAATGCCGTAATACCCTCAGATTCAGGTACATAATCTGGCTGGTAGACCGCCCGTCACGATCCGGTAAATCTCAGTTGTTCGGAAACACCTTCATCGGGGGATTGTATTGTCACTTGTCACTGATGGCCACGTCTTTTGGATGAAATTTGTCGAAAATAAACGTATTATTCTTTTGTGTGTTGCTGACGAATATTATATAGACAGGAAGTTGTTGTATATATACTTTCAGGAGCTTTGAGAAATATTCGAAGTTTGGGTTTTAAAAATCTTCTGATTATGAAGGTATAAATATAATTTAAAAAATGCGCTTTGTGAAAAGATCCAGTTTCTTTTTAATTTTTTTTTTATTTATTTTTATTTCTATGTAATTGGTTTGTTTTTACTTTTTTTAGACTCACATTTCTATTGCTTCTTTTCTTGCCCTACAAGTTGATGTTATTATATTTTCAATCTAACGTTTCGTCTCTTAGCATTATCAACTTTATTTTTTTTAATTTGGACGTGGCTTTTTTATTTCCCTTTTTAAAAGCTTATGATCCTTTAAATGCCATGATGTATCACACGTCACACGTATCCAAAAAATACCTATTACTTGTTTTTTAAACTCATAGTCAAAATGATCTGTTTACCCCTTTCTCTCTCCAACAAAATTTTCTTATTGGAATTTTATAAAAAATTATAATAAAGGATTTATAAATTTTGGACAAGTGTGTGCTACATGATTGTATGTGAGAAGTCATAAGCTTTTAAAATACTGAATAAAACTCCTAGGCCCAGATTAAAAATAAAGCTGAGGATGATTTTTCGAA